GTTTCCTCAAGATTTCAAGTTCTTGCTTTTTATTTTTTATTTTTTCGATGTTTTAATCTTCGTTTTCTCGATTTTATTAAAGTTTTCAAATTTTCACTGTTTAGTTTTTCAATTCCTCGATTTTCGTATTTTTATATTTTTCAATTTTGCTATTTTTGGATTTCCAGTACATAATTTGATTTTCCGATTTCTTTAATTTTCAACATTTCGATTTCAAATAAGGATTTGTTTTTTTCAACTTTGCAATTTTTCGATTTTTGAGTTTCTCAATTTTTAATTTTTCAATTTCCCAATTTTCGTGGCTACATTTCTTCAAATTATTGATTTCCAATTTTCGGATTTTTCAAAGTTTTCACGTTTTTTTTTATATATTTGAGATTTACAATGCTTCCATTTTTTTTTTCGTAAATTTGAAAAATAGATAAGCTAAAAACCGAAAATCGAAAACGGAAAAATTCTAGAATCGTAAAATTGAAAAAGGGGAAAATTTTAAAAATTATTATTACCTATTTAAAATGAAAACTGGAAAAATTACAAATAAAAAATCGAAGAAACGAAAAACTGGAAAATCTAAAATTGAAAAAATAAAAAATTAAAAAATCCAGGGACGTTTTTTTATTTTTGATTTTTCAGTTTTACGTTTCCATTTTTTTTTTTTTTTTGAAAAGTTGAACAAATGAAGTTTTAAAATCCAATAATTTAAAAATGGAAAATTTCCAGAATCGTAAAATTGAAAAAGTAACAAATGTTTAAAAATATTATTATATATTTAAAATGAAAACTGGAAAAATTGCAAATCAAAAATTGAATAAACGAAAAACTGGAAAATCTAAAATTGAAAAAACGAAACATTAAAAAATCTAGGAGACGGCTTTTCCATTTTGATTTTTCAGTTTTACAATGTTTCCACTTTTTGTTCCAAAAGTTGGAAAATAGAAAAACTAAAAATCTCTAAATATTAAAAATTGAATAAATGAAAATGTTGTAAAATCTAATAATTCAAAAATGGAAAAATCTAGAATGCTTAAAATTGATAAAGGGGAGAATTTTCAAAATTATTATTATTACAATTATTTAAAATGAAAACTAGAAAAATTGCAAATCTACAATTGAAAAAACGAAAAATTAAAAATCTAGGGGACGTTTTTACAATTCTTTAATTTTTTTTTTCAAAAATTGAAAATTAGATAAGCTAAAAATTTAAAAATTGAAAAGTTGAATGAATGAAAAAGTTTTAAAATCCATTAATTCAAAAATGGAAAAATTCTAGGATCATAAATCTAAATAAAACTGAAAAAGCAGAAAATTTTTAAAATTATTGTTATTTCATATTTAAAATGGAAAATAGAAAAATTACAAATTAAGAGTTGAAGAAACTAAAAACTGAAAAATCTAAAATTGAAAAAACGAAAAATTAAAAAGTCTGGGGCACGTTTTTTCTTTTTTGAATTTTCAGTTTTATTAATTTTTTTCGAAAAGTCGAAAAATTGAAAAACTAAAAATCTGAAAATTAAAAATTGAAAAGTTGAATGAATAAAAAATTTCAGTAATTGAGAAATGGCAAATTTCTAGAATCCTAAAATTGAAAAAGGGGAGAATTTGAAAAAATATTACTACATTAAAATGGAAACTAGATAAATTGCAAATCAAAAATTGAAGAGACAAAAACTGAAAAAACTTGAAACTGAAAAATCTGAAACTCAAAAAACGAAAAATTAAAAATCTAGGGGACGTTTTTTCCTTTTTGATTTTTCAGTTTTGCGATGTTTCCATTTTTTTTTTCGAAAAGTAAAAAAATATAAAAGTTAAAAATCTAAAAATTAAAAACTAAATAGTTGGATAAGTGAAAGTTTTAAATCCAATAATTGAAAAATGGAAAAATTCTAGAATCGTAAATCTAAATAAAATTGAAAAAGTGGAAAATTTAAAAATTATTGTTATTTCATACTTAAAATGGAAACTAGAAAAATTACAAATCAAAAATTGAAGAGACTTGAAACTGAAAAATCTGAAATTGAAAAAACGAAAAATTAAAAAAACGAAAAATTAAAAAAATCTAGGGGACGTTTTTTGTTTCTTGATTTTTCAGTTTTACCATGTTTCCATTTGTTTTTCGAAAAGTGGAAAAATAGAAAAGCTAAAAATCTTAAAATTGAAAACTTGAATTAATGAAAGTTTTGAAATCCAATAATTGAAAAATGGACAAATTCTAAAATCATGAAATTGAAAAAGGGGTAAATTTAAGAAAAAATTATAATCACATATTTAAAATGAAAACTAGAAAAATTGTAAATCAAAAGTTGAAGAAACGAAAAACTGAAACATCTAAAATTGAAAAACGAAAAATTAAAAAATCAGGGGGACGTTTTTTCCTTTTTTGTTATTCAGTTTTACAATGTTTCAAAATTTGTTGAAAAATAGGAAAGCTGAAAATCTAAAAATTAAAAATTGAAAAGTTAAATATATGTAAATGGAAGTTATGGAATTCAGTAATTGAAAAATGGAAAAACTCCAGAGACATATTTCAAATGAAAACTATAAAAATTGCAAATCAAAAATTGAAGAAACGAAAAACTGAAAAATCTAAAATTGAAAAAATTAAAAAATCCAGAGGACGTTTTTTCCTTTTTTTGATTTTTCAATTTTACAGTGTTTCCTTTTTTTTCGACAACTGGAAAAATAGGAAAGCTAAAAATCCAAAAATTAAAAATTGAAAAGCTGAATATGTAAATGAAAGTTTTGAAATCCAATAAAAATGGAAAAATTCTAGAATCGTAAAATTGAAAAAGGGGAACATTTTGAAAATCAGTATCATTACATATTTAAATGAAAACTGGAAAAATTGCGAACCATAAATTGTCAAACGAAAAATTAAAAAACATGGGACGTTTTTTCCTTTTTGATTTCTCAGATTTATAATGTTTCCATTTTTTCGGAAAGTAGAAAAACTGACAAGCTAAAAATCCAAAAATTAAAAATTGAAAAGTTGAATAAATGAGACAGTTTTGAAATCTAGTAAAATTGACAAGGGGAAAAATTGTAGAATCGTAAAATTGAAAAACGAGAAAATTCTGTAAATTATTATTATTATTACATACGTAAAGTGAAAACTAGAAAAATTTCAAGTCAAAAATTGAAGAAACGAAAAAATGAAATACATATGTTGAAACTGAAAAATCTAAAGTTGAAAAAATGAAAAATCCAGTGGACGTTTTTTCCTTTTTGAATTTTCAGTTTATCAGTGTTTTCATTTTTTTTTTATTTCGAAAAAATGAAAAATATATGAGCAAAAAATGTAAAAATTAAAAATTGAGAAGTTGAATAAATGGAAAAGCTTTAAAATCCCATAATAATTGAATAATTGAAAAATGGGGAAATTCTGCAATCATAAAGTTGAAAAAGGGGGAAATTTTTAAAATGAAAACTAAAAAAATTGCAAATAAAAATTGAACAAACGAAAAATTATAAAATTCAATGGACGTTTTTCCCTTTTTGATTTTTCAGTTTTACTATGTTTCCATTGTTTTTTCGAAAAGTTGAAAAATAGAAAAGCTAAAAATCTAAAAATTAGAAAGTTGATTAAATGAAAAAGGTTTTAAATCGTAAACTTGAAAAGGGGAAAATTTTTACAATTAATATTACATATTTAAAATGAAAACTACAAAAATTGCAATTCAAAAATTAAAGAAAAGAAAAATTGAAAAGACGAAAAATTAAAAAATAGGGGATGTTTTTGATTTTTGAGTTTTACAATGTTGCCAATTTTTTTAGCGTCGAAAAATAGAAAAGCTAAAAATCTAAAAATTAAAAATGGAAAAGTTGAATAAATGAAAAAGTTTTAAAATCCAATAATTGAAAAATGAAAAAATCTACAATCGTAAAATTGACAAATGGGCAAATTTTAAAAATTATTGTTATTACATATTTAAAATGTAAACTAGAAAAATTGCAAATCAAAAATTGAAGAATCGAAAAACTGAAAATTCTTGAAACTGAAAAAGTAAAACTAAACTTGAAAAAACCAAAAATTAAAAAACTAGGGACGTTTTTTCCTTTTTGATTTTTCACTTTTACTATGTTTACATTTTTTTCTAAAAATAGAAAAATTGGAAACTTAAAATCTGAAGTGGAAAAATTATTATAGAATTGTAAAATTGACAAAAGGGAAAATATTTAAAATTACTATTCTTATTACATATGCTTTTAAAATGAAAACTTGAAAAATTGTAAACGAAAAACTGAAAAATCTAAAATTTTAAATCGGTTGGAAAATCTAAAAACTGAAACATGAAAAATTAAAGAATCGAAAAACTGAAAACTCGAAAAGTTTTATAATGGAAAAATTGAATAAACCAAAAATTATAAAATCGAAACATTGAAAAATTGGAAAACTGAAGGCTGTCTTTCAAAGTGAAACTCTTTTGGGCCAGATGGTCAACAGTCATTAAGTATTTACAGAATCAAAGTTTGGATCATTATTATTATTATCAATACAAGTAAACTTCGACTCTCCCTCAATTCCACCCTTCTCAAGCGAGTCAAAACAAGAACTGGAAGACACCTGTGTGACGTATCTGGGTTATCGGTCCCCTCCGCCCTCAAACCATCCAAACAGACCCATATGTCACATCAGGCCAGACGCCACCGACCGGAAATCCAATCTTAACATGTTCTGCTTTAATTGACGAACCAGCTTTCGGGGGTGCCAACTTCCACCTCGACCGTGTCTCTACAGCAACGCTCTACCAATCCTCCAGCTGTTTTTACTACCAAACTCTAAAAAAAAAATCGCCCACTCGCAAAAACCATCACTTTCACCGATTTTCCATCTGCTCTCGATTTACATAAACGTCCCGCCAATTTCCCAACCGAGTAGAAAGTGCCGCCGTCCCCGGCTCGGCCCCGGCGAATTCGGCGGTCGCCGCTCGCCGTCCCCCCCATCTTTCCCCCCTCTCCCGCGCCTTTGTTCGGTGCGTTCACACGTGCTTCAGTTACCGCTCTGCAGGCATGCCAACCGTCGGTGTGTCGACGTCACGTCCGTTGGTGTTGTTCGTGGTGGTGTTGCGCTCCTGAAGCCGAAACTAGGATCAAAATCGAAAAAAACCGAAATGGAGTACGCCAGGCGGAAGTAAGTGCGGCCAGTGCGGACCCCCGTCGAAGTGGTGCGGCGCTTTTTACAGCCAGCGGTTTTTTGCGAATTTTTTCGAAAGTCAGTGGCGGCGGGCTCGGGGGCGGTGTTGCGACACGGCTACTTTCGAACAGCTGCGATTGCAGAACGCGAATTCTGGGAACCGTTTCGTTTCTGGTGTAATTAGATGAATGGAACGGTTTTCTTAATGATCGGTTGCGTTCGGTGAGCGGTTTTTTGGAGGAAATTGGCGCCGGGGGCGGCGGCTCGGGGACACGCCTCGGTGTCCTGGAACGTCCGACCAGATAATTAAATTACAATGGCAAGAAATGAATTATTTATTGTTCGTCGGGCGATTATCTTTTTCTTTGTATTAGATAACGATAATTCTGTGTATTTTAAAGCGGGATTTCTCCTTTCGTGTCGTTTTCGGAATTATTAAAATTAGAGACAATGGGGATTAGAAAGTGAGAAGGTTTTTGTGACCAGGAAATGCTCGGATTTATGAGTATTAATTACGTCGTAAATTACGCAAAAAACTCGACTAACGCGTTTTTAATCGACCGGCGAGGGTTAATTTTGGCCGGGCTGTGTTTAACAAGACCTTTTGTTTGGAGTTCGGATGTTTGGCACGTAATCGTAAAACTATGCTGTTTTAAATAGTTTACATTGCCGTGACCTTGGAACGTAATTTTAACTCTGGTTTAAATATCGACCACTTTTTTTTTCGAAGTGGAAAACGCAGAGTGCAGCGAAAATCGGCGTTTAAAAAAAAATGGGGTCAGAGCGGCGTTTGAAACACAACCTCCGAATTAGTAATTGAAAAATTCTCGCCTTGACGCTAATTTTTGTAATGACTAAACATTGCAAAGTTTGTTTGCTCCGTGGTGCTAAGTGCGTGTTAAATGTACTAATTTGCGGACCGTTATGAACTTGGGTTGAAAGAAAACTGACTCGAAAGTTCTTTGTGCGGACGGAAATTTGATTTTTTCAAAGACCAAGAAACGTCAAATAAATGTAGCAAAGAAAATTTGTGAGCGAATCTTCCGTGGAAATTGTGTCTGAAATAAAATATCGCGTACTACCGTAAACAAAGAAAATACAAAAAAAATACTATATTTATTTTTATCTTCGACTTCCAGTTTTTCGGAAAAACCCCGAACTTCTACAAATTTTACAACCTTACTTCGAAAAACCGAATGATCGGAAATCTTCGACGCTTTAATTAAGGTCACCGTCAACATGGAAAAACTTGATGACGTCAACTCGAAATTTTTGTGGATATATTTTATCTAATTTTCCTGGAATTTTGGAAATTTATAACTAGTGTTATTAGTTAAACGGACATGGGTCATGTGCGCGCAACGGTCAAACAAATTTGCATATAATTCTAAGGGTGAATACCATAAACAGTTGTTTGTCGTAGTGGTTGATCTGGGTGTTAGTCATATTAAAATAAATATGTAAGTATTCGGAGAATTAATTTCACTTTCACACAATTACGCACGTATTTATTATTAATCATCAAATATGTATATAGAGTTGAAAATATTTTTATTGGTCTTAAATTTTGTGCCCATAATGGGGTAAACTAACCATTACAAAATTTTATAACCAGAAAGGTATGAAATATATGCCTAGCTTGCAATTTTATTACGTTATTTAAAAAAAATGTAACCTTTAATTAATGTAATTTTTGTATTAAGATTGCTATGATTAATTTATTAATACAATTATTTGCGTATACACGACAGATAGATCGAAACGAGGGACCTATTATTTCGTACCCTAGAAATCGAGAAACGTCGACAAAGCGTGACAATGGCCATTCATCGGATGGACCCCATTTTAACTCACGCTCGAGAAATAAAAAAGAAAACATACTGTGTGTTTGAAGAAAAGTCCACGTCCGTAACTGCTTTATTTTTCGAGTACAACATTGTGTGATACGTCAAATTACACAAAAATATATTGGTCTACGACATTCAATTTTTTTTTTGTTTGAACATTTTTGTCGGGATTTTTTCTAAAATCATTAATATACAGAGATTAAAATTTTTAAAATTTTTTTCCGCTGTACAGTGTTTCATTTTAATTTTTTTTGTAAGAGCATGCTGCATAAATTTTTACATATTATTATTATTATATTAGTTTCTTTCAAGGATTTATAAACATAGTCTATTTTTGAAGTTCAATGCGACGTTGCCACTATTCGAATTTTCTGTTTTTTTTTTTTCACTAATGTAAGGGTTCGCAAAAAAATCGCGATGACGTTATTTTTAAGATCTGTGTTGCAATATTTTGGAGAGAAATAAACAGAGAAACACTATGTTATTGTGTCAATTAAATAACATTTTAATATACAGAGTGTTCATAAAATAAAAATTAAAAACGTTACAATTTTCAGGTACGTATATTTCACTTTTTTCAAAAATTGAAACATGGAAAATTGAAGGATCGAAAAACTGAAACTTCGAGAAATTGAAAGATTCCAAAATTGAAATGACGAAAGATAGGAAAATGGAAAAATCGAAACATCGAAAAATTGGAAAATCGAAAAATTGAAAAGCTGAAAAATTGAAAAATCGGGACATAAAAAATTCAAAAATTGAAACATTAAAAGATCGAGAAATCGAAAAGTCGAAAAACTGAAAAATTTTAAATTAAAAAACGATAAATCGAAAAATTGAAAAAACGAAAATTTTAAAAGTCGAAAAATGAAAACTAAAATATCGAAATCCAAAAAGTCGAAAAGTTGAAGGATCAAGCAGTCGAAATATCAAAAAATCAAAAAACGGAAAAATCCCGAAATTGAAAAATTCTCAAAATCGAAAAATTAAGATCGAAAACTTGAAAAATCGAATAAAATTGATGACCTTATTGTTAAGATCTGTGTTGAAATATTTGTAGAGAATTAAACAGAGGTACACTCTTTGTTGTTGTGTCGATTAAATAACATTTTAATATACAGCATGTTAAAAATATACAAAAATTTAAGACGTTACAATTTTCAGGTACGTATATTTCACTTTTTTTCAAAAATTGAAATGACGAAAAATTGGGAAATGGAAAAATCGAAAAATGAAAATCCGAGAAATTGAAAAATCGGAACATTAAAAAATTCAAAAATTGGAACATCAACAGATTGAGAAATCGAAAAGTCGAAAACTGAAAAGTTGACAAATAGAAATAGGTCCAAATAAAAAAAATATATGTATAGAAAATTGATGAAAAAAAATTTAAATAAAAAAAACTAAAATTTTAAAAAAACGAAGAATTTAAACATTGAAAAACTGAAAATTTTAAAAGTCGAAAAATCAAAAATTTTAAAAATCGAAAAATGAAAACAAAAAAATTGAAATCCAAAAAGTCGAAAAATTGCAAGATCAAGCAGTCGAAACATCAAAATATCGAAAAATGGAAAAATCCCGATATTGAAAAATTCTCAAAATCGAAAAATTAAGATATCGAAAACTTGAAAAATCGAATACAAGGGTTCGCAAAAAAAATCGCGATGACGTTATTTTTAAGATCTGTGTGGAAATTTTTGTAGAGAATTAAACAGGTACACTCTTTGTTATTGTGTCGAATAAATAACATTTTAATATACAGCATGTTCATAAAATAAAAATTTAAGACGTTACAATTTTCAGGTACCTATATTTCACTTTTTTTCAAAAATTGAAAGATCGAAAATCTGAAACTTCGAGAAATTGAAAAATTCCAAAATTGAAATGACGAAAGATGGAAAAATCGAAAAATTGAAAATCCGGGAAATTGAAAAATCGGAACATTAAAAAATTCAAAAATTGAAACATCAACAGATCGCGAAATCGAAAAGTCGAAAACTGAAAAATTGACAAATAGAAATAGGTCAAAATAAAAAATATATATATATATAGAAAATTGATAAAAAAATTTAAACAAAAAAACCATAAATTGAACAATAAAAAATCGAAAATTTGAAATGTCGATAAATCGAAAAATTGAAAAAACTAAAATTTAAAAAAAACGAAGAATTTAAACATTGAAAAACTGAAAATTTTAAAAGTCGAAAAATCAAAAATTTTAAAAATCGAAAAATGAAAACAAAAATATCGAAATCCAAAAAGTCGAAAAATTGAAAGATCAAGCGGTCGAAACATCAAAATATCGAAAAACGGAAAAATCCCGAGATTGAAAAATTCTCAAAATCGAAAATTAAGATATCGAAAACTTGAAAAATCGAATACAAGGGTTCGCAAAAAAAATCGCGATGACGTTATTTTTAAGATCTGTGTGGAAATTTTTGTAGAGAATTAAACAGGTACACTCTTTGTTATTGTGTCGATTAAATAATATTTTAATATACAGAGTGTTCATAAAATAAAAATTTAAAACGTTACAATTTTCAGATACTCATATTTATTTTACTTTTTTCGAAAAATGAAAAATAGAAAATTGAAAGATCGAAAAACTGAAACTTCGAGAAATTGAAAAATTCCAAAATTGAAATTACGAAAGATTGGGAAATGGAAAAATCGAAAAATTGAAAAGCCGGGAAATTGAAAAATCGAAAAGTCGAAAAACTGAAAAATTCAGAAATAGAAATAGGCCAAAATAAAAAAATATATGTATAGAAAATTGAAAAATTTTAAATAAAAAAAAACGATAAATCGAAAAATTTGAAATGTTGATATATCGAGAAATCGAAAATTTGAAAAAACGAAAATTTAAAAAAATCGAAGAATTTAAAAATTGGAAAATTTATCAAAAAATCGAAAAACGGAAAAATCCCGAACCTGAAAAACTGAAACTTTGAGAAATTGAAAAATTCCAAAATTGAAATTGCGAAAGATCGGGAAATGGAAAAATCGAAAAATTGAAAAGCCGGGAAATTGAAAAATCGAAAAGTCGAAAAACTGAAAAATTCAGAAATAGAAATAGGCCAAAATAAAAAAATATATGTATAAAAAATTGAAAAATTTTAAATAAAAAAAACGATAAATCGAAAAATTTGA